GTCACTCCAATTATTTAAATATATAAAAATCAGCATGGCACCTAAGCCTTATTGAAAATTCAGTAAAGAAAAGGAATCTACATTTTATCACGTCAAATTAACCAGGAAAGAACATGGATGAAAAGGTGACTTTCAGTGGAGTATTTCAGCACATCCTATAGGAGCTTCGGTATACAAAATACCTTCAAATAATTAGCTTCAAATAATTTTCCAGTCCAGAGGATTTGGAGTCATTACATGAAAAAAATAAAGGGGATGTTCCAGCCTGCAAGCGTCACAAACTCGATCTATGTGTTTTTGAATATTACTTCGTGCACTAGGGGGAGCTCCTGCAACTCTATCACAATAGGAATCTAAAGACAATACAGGGAACATAATGGAAATAAAGCACGAGAGAGATTTCAGAAAAAGAGGCATATTCTTCACCGAATAGCAAGACTGACTGTACGAATTTGCACAATTTAATCTGCTTATATCTCCTGTGTTCAGTATGCTTTCTTCAGTACAAAGGAGATGAAGAAGCACTTTCCCCCTTTCAATATGTATGCTTCAATGAAGAAGGCACAAAATTACGTAGGTTTTTAAACAGTCAGAGATTAAGCTGTACAAAAATCAAGCTAGCATGGTTTTAGAGGTGAGATGTTATTTTAATTGAGTGTGTTACAGGAAAAAATACATGTGAGCAGGTAATCAAAGTCTGTACCATAACAAACATGAAGAATTGAAGTCCGTACCATAACAGAGATAAGAGGACTTCATTAACACTGCTCAGTCAGCCTCCATTCTTGAAACTCTCTGCCTTTGAGCACTTAATTTTTCAGCCTTCCTTTCAAGCAGAATTTTTTTTTGTGTAGTTTCTTGAGGATGTCGAGGTTCTTTTAGCAGACTGCGATATGGAGATTCCATTCGGAAAACAATATAAAACTTCAGCTTGGATCATTAGCAGGATAGGACTTCTTGACTATCAACCACTTGGAAAAATAGAATAATTGTTATTAATCACAGGTTTCTATTCTTTCTGTGGATTATTCCTATGCTTTCTTAAGCATAGTATCCACAGTTTGCAAAGGAGTTTAAGACATTTAGTGATAGCAGAAAAAAGCCCTCAGCAGCAGTGGAGATTCGTGCTCTTGATGGGTCTCTCCTCTGGTTTTTTTACCCACATTCATTCCTGTGTCTCTACAACTCATTGCTGCAATGCCCTCTTCTTTAAAACTATCATATATCTCATGTCTCCAGAGAAGAACGGGCTATTTCTTTACTCATTTCCTACTTGGGCACCAGTAAAGGGTGTAAAAGCACAGGAGAGACAACCACAGTTTTCAGATAGTGTTTGGCACTGTAACAATCAAAATGTTGCTCTGCCAACTAGAATGAGTGATTGCGAGAAAGCTCACACCATTAGGCATCAACACAGGAATGCTCAAGCAGCCCAGGACCAAAGATGGACAGTGTGGGAATTCTGCACACGCAATGTGCACAGCCTGTGTGCGCAAGCTTGCAGTTAAACTGCAATGAGCCTGTAGTGAGCCAGTTTCAGCTGAGATTTTTCAAGGCTTAACAATACGGTTTATTTTGTAGGGGGTCACAAATGGTACTCCTTACTGCCAGAACAAGCCGCAAATGTCAAGCTCCTAGTCCAAAGGACAGGATTGCTAGTCTATCACTGGGAAAAGCTATTTAGTATGTGCTACATATTCTTCCCAAAACTCAATGTCAGAGAGGTCTGATCCATTTCAATTTAAAAATCAGCCAGAAGCATACTCTCAGCATGGAAAATTCAGCATAAACAGCCAAAAAGTGGCCAAATTGTAAGAACAGGACCTTGTAGTGGGAAGCACCATGCAACCCTGCTGCCAGCTCTGCTGGTAATATATGGAAACAGAACCACTACCTATTCTGTCTGCACGCTGGAACCCGACCTCCCCTGTGTTCTAAGTACTCTTCTGTATCTTTTCCAAAAATGTATTTGAAATTATTATTGATTTTGTAATTTTGGCTTTAGGGTTATATTCATCACACAGATTCAGCTACATCCAACTATACCCCATGAGGATTTTTGAAAACTAGAGCTAGAGAGATCGGTGTACAGATATCAGACAGACTAGTTAAAAAGACCAAAGCTGTGTTATTGTCCTTTATGTAAGACAGCTTTAAATTGACTTTGTTTCCATTCCTCAAAATATAACTGAGGACAGTAGCATACTCTGTCTCAGTATTTTACGCTCAATTTAACTGCTACGTTGCATTAAATGATGTGCAATAATGTAACCCTAAAAGCAAATTAATTTGTGCTTGGTAAAAAAAAAAAAAAAATCTCTTTGCTGCATTCTCCAAATAGAATTTTTTTAATAGATTTTAATGAACTAGGAAAACTGAAAATCACCATATGGTGAGAAAATTTCAAGGCATGTATTAAAAGAAAAATCTTATGTTACTCATCAAAAACTAATAGATGTGACAGGAGAAAAAAAAAAATGAAGCCATGAAGATGAAACTCAAGTAATTACCAAATATGGAAAATCATCTATTTACAGTGCTTGTAAAAGACTCAACACAGGCTAAAGTATGCATTTCATATTTCAAGAGTGGAATATATCAAATTTCATTTGAAGCAAATTATAGTTACAAACTTCCCTGGAAAATCAAAACAACACACACACTCTAAAATTAATGCATCATTATGATCAGAACTAATGAAGACCTTATCTTACCTCCTTCCATCTAACAGTGTAATGTTTGCTTTCCATATGAAAGATTTTGAGGAACTTTCTCTGAATCTTAGAAAGTTCCTCACTTAGTCTTTTTCTGGACATTACAGAGCAGCCTGCAGGCCTCTCCAAGATGTATTTGCTGCCAGTCCCACAGGCATCATTCTGGCAATCTAAAGACATAAAGTAGTCTAAAGAATGTCCTGCAAACACTTCCCTGTTTCTGGATGAATGGCCTTCCCTAATGCAGTAGCCATTTCAACAGTCATATATCACCCTAAAATAAGCAAAACATGTAAAATCTACAAATATAGGGCTGTTTTCTGGTACCTTGTTATTTTGTATTTCGAATAGCTTGCAACAGTTCTGGGAATTTGGCCCTGTAATCCCAGTATCTCCCTGATCACTCAAAACTGACTGCAGGGCATGAAGATAGACATGTTGTGTAACCACTGTAACAGTTGTACCATTTAAAATTGCAGGAATGAAGCTTGCATGCAGTAAACAAGATACTCGGGTGTTTATACCTATTGCATTTACCTTCCACTTAACATAATTAAAGAGAACCATGGCCATATGGCAAAAAACAGAGAACTAGGATTCATGAACCATTTCTATGTTGTAGGTTCTTCTGCCACATTTATCATGGGACTGTCTGAGCTCCTCCAGGACGAAACAAGGTGACAAGCATCTGTCACACATTTACACTCAGCTTCTCTCCACAGAAATGTGTACAGTGTGGGAGGGAGAAGGATGGCTGGTTTATATATGTGTCTTGGAAAGCAAGTTAATATGGATTGCAAAGGACCTTATGCCTATAAAAGTCACTGAGCAGTTTGAGCCTGCCCCAGCCAAGTTCTGTCTTCTACCCAGGTGAATATTACTTTGTGCGGGAAGAGCCCCATTGTGTTAGGAAAGCCCAACTATTGGCAGCAGTATTAATGACCAAATTTTGCTCAGTTTCTAAAATACATTGTACCTGAAAGTGTGTACCACCCTTAGCGGAGCATCACTGCCCATTACTGAGGGGATATCACCTTCTAGGAAAGATGGATGTTTTTACCTTGTTACCTCTCTCTGCTTCAGAAAATACAACATCATCTTTTAGTTTGGATCCTACACCTGGTGCTTTCATCGAGATGTCAAACAAGCCCCCTGATCTGGCTTAACTCCAGCATTGAAATGCCAACATCTTAGAGAAGCACTGAGACTTAATTCATAACTATTTGTACAATGCTTACAGAACAAAAGGTGCTATCTAAGTAGCTAAGAATTATTTACTCAGTATATGGAAAAATGTTTATTTTCTACAGGATAAGGCTGTGTCAGGAAGTGGTATAGCATTAGTGAATAGGACACTAGAAAAAGGAACTGCATACCGTTACATTTATACATTTAACAAAGGCTGAATATGACAATTAAGAAAGGTCAGTGTCAGTACCCTTGAGGAAGCAGGACAGACAGACAGGGAGAGGTACAAGTAGTTATTTTCACATTAAGGAAACATGCTAAAATATTCATTGTCTTAATCAGCTGTCAAGAGAAGGTTTTTGTGTAACAAAAATATGGTTAACCTTTTAAATACATCACACAAATGCATCAAATTAAACTCCTATGTCCAGAAAGAAAGCATCCAAGCATCTGTTTATTACTGTAACTTTTCCACTCCTGCCATAAAAAATTCTAAAAGTTATTAATCTTTACAGCAATGCCTGATACTATTTCTTCCCACTATTATAATTACTTTAAAACAGAACAGAAATATTCATGAGTTCTTTCATGTGGGTCCTCACCTGGCAAAACCGAAGGCACAGAACTATTTTACAAAGAGGAACCGAGACATAAAGCTGCTCTCTGAACACAGGAGAAAATTCACCCTGAGCAAAGGGCCAGAACAATGCCTATGCATCAGTTAAGACTCAGCTGAGCCTTAAATTATGATTTAATTATGAATTTTATGATCCATTGGCTATGTGCTGGTCTTGTCACAGTGCTGCTTTTCTTCTTTACCCTCAGCACCTTTCACACAGAGACAGGACAATTGGACTATAACATAAACTTCGCCAGCAGTACACTTTCTAATAATGCTGATCTTGAACCAGTTGCTTTCTCCAGTTATTTGATACAACGTCTAATGCATCCTTATAATTTATATACTGTACTAACATGCATCAACCACATGCTTTCCATTTGCACCTGGTTCTTTTCAATTTAATGCTGTACTTCTGCGTTTTTATTATCAAATTCCTCCCCCCCTCAAAAACAAAAGGAAAACTAGGTGTGATTTACCTTGTTACAATTTTTAGACACTTGACAAAGAGCACTACTTGACACACTGTCCTTATCTGGCATTCCTAAAAAAAGAATATAGAAAATAAATACATATTGTACATTCTTTAAGTGACAGCTGAGATATTTATTTAAGGGGGTCAATACTTAGATAACATACACATTAATCTGTGATTTTTTTAAGAGCAAAACAGATTTATTCAGACAAAAGTTTTCTCTCATGAACACAAAAAAGACAAAAAGCTAACTTGTATAAATGCTATAAACAGCCTGCTAAACAGTACTTTCTCACAACTTAATATTTGAAGTATGTATACAGGAATTATCTATATTTTTTCATTTAACACTACCTGTGTTTTAGTACCTAGAAGTCAAATGTGACACTGAGTTTGCACAAATTAGCATTCCTATGCTATGCTATGTATTGTTTCACAAATAGAACCCATTGAACACATAACATACGGGACAAAATTTGCAGATGCAATAGCTAGCAATCAGATATTGTCCTGGCTGGCATCTAAATAATCCTCTGGCAACTAAATAAAAGTACTTTGCTTTACAGAAGTGATGACTTCCAAAGGCTGCCCTTGGATTCATGTCTACAGCACTATCTCACGGTTTGACAGGCTGTCTGCCCAAGCACTAACCTAGGTTCCCAAGCAAGTTGCATAGCCCATCCTAACTGAAAAAATAAACCAGTTTGTTGTATTTATTTTACTAGCAAGACTCAGGGCATGTTCCATGGAATTCATGTAACACCTATAATGAGTTAAATGTTATGTGACATCATACAGTATGCTTTAGTCAACAGGCCTGGTTCATACTGCAGATTTGTGTACAGCTCTGTGTACACTTGTATACCGTTGGGAATGCAGTTAGGCAAGTTCCAAAGTAGTTCCTACTACATGCAGTATTAATACAGTTGTAATACTGAATTGAATTTAACATTTAAATTCCAACACACAAAACCAGAGAACTTTCATCTTCCCCTTTCTTTTCTTTTTTTCTAACATCTGATGTCTATTTTCTCATACTTACTGTCATTGTTGGAGCCAGTTTCCATAACACCATAAGGAGGAGTGAGAAGTCCAGACATGTACTGTCGATATTTCTGAAAGACAGCAATGGCACATTCAGTCAGGTACACATGTATAAAGCCACTCCATGGATGGTGTGGTATTTACATTTGTGTGCCCGCTGCCTTGTGCTTCACACGCACGTAAGCAATCTGAGGCAGTCAGACATGTCTTTCACTCGTAACACTACAAGGCCTGCTTTGACTGGAGCACACTGCTTTTATTTTATCAAAAGTTGTGCTAAAACAGTTCCCTCCATCTTCCCCAAACCATGACTTTGAGGGTTCTAACAAATCAATATTGTATTTAGTTGTCTTAGTTCTCGTAAAGACTGTTTTAAAGCTCATTTGAAATTACTCAGCTGAACTCATCTACAAAGCTAATTCATTGTAGGGATGGAGACAAAGCTGTTGACTGAGGATACATGAGAATCATGTACCACTACAATTTTGGTGTCAGATCTGAAATACACAGGATTTAGTGTGAAAACTCTAAACATTTAATTCAAACACACTAAGTTTGGTTTTCAGAAACCACAAGGTTATGAAACACACAAAGCCAGCACCTCATTTTATGTATACACTCACACAAAAACTGTATTATCAGATGAGACTTTGTAACTGTAAAAATAATGTCCCTTGTACCACTGTAAACTACATAATTGTAACTGATGTCAGTAACTGGTATTTTTCTTCAGTGAATGCTGGTGACACGATCAATAAGGTTCAAAGCTCTGTCTACAGCTTAAGAAATTCACAGAGGCTAAAAAATAACACCAAAGGAAAAAACTGTCCTTTTATCAAATATAAATCATTCAATAAATGACACATTTTTGTTTCCAAGCATATTACTGTCACACTTAAGGGTAAACAATTATAATTCCTTTTGGAACTGTTAGAAAACAAGCTTGTGCAACAAAGATGCTGATAAGCAGCGTAAACAGAACGTGTCATGCAGTCCTTAGGGTGTGCAGTGAACTGAACGTGAATAACCAACCAGCTGAAATTCATGTAGGTTTCAACTAAGTACACATAATAACTGAGACAGAAAATTTCCCTCATAGAACAATTTTCATTCAAAAGTTTTATCCTTTGCTCTATGGAGCTGTTCGGATGTATTCACTTTTAAAATGTTGTCTGCTGATTTTTAACAGATGCTTGAATTATCCTTTTAATGCTTCTTTTTCTTAGAAATGGATATGAAAATATCATCAATTCTAGCACTAAAGACTGAATGTCTTGCATTCTAAATAATAACAAAAGCCACAAAGATTACATTAATCTTAATAATCCAATCCTATTTTTAGACAAGCTATTACATCCTAAAGCTTAGTAACATATTATTTAAATCTCACCCATAATCCAGCTGAAAACTCATAGGAGCAAAACTGTTTTAGATCCCTGGTCAGTCACACAAAATAAATGCTACTGCATTTGAGGACAAAACGCTCCTATTTTCCTTCCCAAACCATTCACTTTCCCATACTCTGGGTTATGGCAAAGTAAAATTTTATAGGCTTTTTTTCTTTTGTTCTTCCTCACCATTCAGATGATATTTGTTTCTTTGTTCCATTTTTCCCAAAATAGCATTTTCCCAGAAACACATTATTAGTTCACATTTAATCCACCCTGATAAGGAACTTGAATTGTAGGAAGACAGTCATTTTCTCTTTTATTTCCTATACCACATCCACAGTCATCATACACTGCGTGGCAGTTTCCCTTCCGATTAATTCTCTAATATTCTTCCTGATTATTATTCTCATGAAATGAAACATAGAACACACCATATTATTTCGCAAAGATTTGGGGGCCTAGCTTAACAAAAATACCTACAGGTAGAATAAGCCAGAATTGCATATAAGACTTTAAAGGAGGCACCTAACCCCCATTCAGCCCCATCTCATGCTCAGGATGCCAAAGCCCACCAGGAACAAAAGCACTGGCTGCCAAGGCCTTCAACTCTTGTCATCTTCCACATGAAGGTCCCACCCTGCCATTGGATGAGTCTATTTGTGATTCTGATATAGCAAGCCCAGTGAGCAATGTTGCCTGTGAAGGAGTTCAGGCAGCATTACCAGAAGAGGCACTAATTCAAGACGTGCCCTTAGAAAGCTCAGTTGTTCAGACTCCTCCAGGGGACCTCTGCATAAATGAAACTACCTTCTATATCTGGGTGTCAGGAGGGAAGGCTGATATGACTGCCTACACACAGTGGTCTGCAGGCTGACATAAGAGGTATAATTTACACCTAAAACTGTGTCACTTCATCAGCCATATTAAAGGTCAAGGGACACTTATTTGTCAAGAAGTCAGAGAAACTCTGTTTGCTGGGAAACCTAAGTATGCAAAGAAAGATGTAAGTAACTGAATAAAGATTCACAGTATCAGATGGAGTAATGAAGTTCCAGGCATGAGATTTCTGAAAGCTGAGATAACGAGGAAAACACAATACTGACTGTGAGACCCATCTTGTTACTGTAACGTCTGTAAATGAAAAGAAAAAGCAGTAAATTAAATTGTACTGGTAGGTGGCATTTAAAATCATCCCAAAGATTAACAGACTAAATATCTACAAAAGACTTTTGAAAATGTATTCCACTGGTGGTATGAACTCTGGAAAGGCTTTCCTTACAAAAGACAGCAACAGTTATCAAATCATCATAACCTTGTTTATTATCAGAAGTCTTCAAGTTCTGTAAATCCAACATGACAGCTGGTTTTAAAACTACACTCAGTGACCTATTCACTCTGTCTGCAGATTTCTACCAATTTATAAACTCTATCACGCAGCATCTTAAAGATCAGACACTTCCTGCATCTAATCTGACAGCACAAGTAATAAAGACAGTATTTTTTCTTCCAGTTACTGACCGCCTCATATCCATGCTGTGGTGAAAATTAACACGACCTTTTCAGCCACTGCTATAGCCTAAAGCACAGAAGAGTGCTGACAAGGAACAGTTGGGGATGGCAGAATGGAGGAAAGAGAACCACAGGCTTGCCTTACTGGGGAGGTGCCATGGGTGAATGTTCACACCAACAGTTTTTTAAGGCCACCCACTGTCAGGCTTTTCAGTGTGTTCCTGCACATGCTCTTATTTAGACTTTATTTGCAGTTAGCTGCAGTTAGTCTCAGAGTTTTCATGACTACAATAGATTTTCTTCTATTCCATAAACATAATTCGGTATATTTTTATATGCTAATGTTTAGAAAAGCAATTACTATAATTCTGATGCAAGGTACCTCCAAACGCCTTACAAATTTTTCTACTGTACATACGGTATATAAAATGTCTTCGTAGTTAGTCCCTTCTCTTCTACTGCAAGTACTGAAGAGCTAATTCATGTTTAAAGGGAAAGAAGGAGCAAAAAAAAGATCTATAGAATACAAACACTTCAAAACAAGCCAGGTAGTTGTGAAGAAAACAGATGAGCCTGTGTTGCCCATGTGCATTGCATAGCAAAACCACAGCACTCTTAACGGGAACAACTCAGGACTGACAAAGGGAAGATCTCCTGGGTATTAAACTTTAAATGCAGCTTCCACATCAGATACTCCCCCAAGAGCAGCAGTTCTCCAGTCAGCAAAGTATCTGATGGGCTGTGTAATACGGACACAGGTAGCAATGGTTTGTAGCACCAGGGAATCAAGTCGGGCTTCTGATGCTTCCCCATGCCAAGGTGAACCTACATGTGGCCAGATACTAGGAAGTGAGTGTCTCGTAACATTGGAGAAGGTCTTGTAGACCACAACAGGTGCTTGGTTGAATACATGAACTCTCTCCTTTTCTTTCTCCCTCACTGACAATCTCAATCCACAGTGTCACTTTTGACCAGGTCCACTTCTGCTGACTCCTATTCTGCCTAGCACTGGCAGCAGGGAAGGTGACAACACAGAGCCTGCATCACTTGCAAGTTTGGGAGTAACACAAAATAATTAATCTCACCTGTAGAAATCCTAGGCCAAACATCAAGGTGCCCTTTCCACACATTTTTCAAAACCTTGCATAACTATTTTATCAGATGCTGTTAGTTTGACTATTACCCGAGTTGTACAATCCTCTTGTACTAGCTGTTTCTACTCCTGCAATGGTTTCTCTCGGGGAATATATGCTGTAGCTTGACAATGTGGGCCAGCTTCTCTGTTTTCTTTTGACAGTAAATAATTGATCACCGATGCTCTCAGTACAACTCTGTTCTTCCTCTAAGATGGCTACGCCAGTCATACCATTTTAGCAATGAACCACCTCCCTTGTGAGCATTACTCACAAGGGTACATCACTCCCATAGTGCATTTTTTCCTCTTCTCTTTTCTCAAGAACAGTAAGAAGGGATGTGAAAGAGCCCCTGAAGATCTCTGGACCCTATTTTCACCCACCAAAACAAGCAGAGATTGCTGTCTCAAAGTCTAGATCTTTGCCTTTAGATCTGATGCTCCAAAGTGCTCTTCACTGAACTAATTGACAGTTAAAATCTCAGGTCACCTGCCTGCTATCCATTAATGTTTTCCATCAAAAAGTGCCTAATGTTCTTACAGAATTTCACCCCAAAAAAACCCCTGATAACCACATTCGTAGTTGGTTTTTTACCCAAATCTTGTTCAAAGGGGAAACCAAACAACACACTATTGCTTGATAGTATGTGCTGAGACCTACAGACTGGCACAATTCTGATTTCAGATGCTGCCTTCTTAGTATGTTTACAAATTAGTAAGCGTATTTCTTCTAAGCAAACTCAAATCAGAAAATTTCCATACATTTCAGGTCAATGCCACTGGGTATCACAAAAAGGACCTGATCCATGGCTGTTTAACATTGGATAGTAAATCATTGCTTGAAGCTGGTGCTTCACTCTAGAACACCAAGTATCCCATGTAATATTAAATACTTACCTTTGTCATTCACAGAATAGATATATTCACTGTCACTCACAGTATAGGTAAGAGAACAGAATTAAGGTATTTCTAAAGGAAAGGATAAAAACAAACTAGGAAAAAATAATGCTACAATAGCAAAACC